GGGCCGGGGCCATGGGCGGTGAGTGCGGCGCGGGCCGGGGCCGAGGCGACCGCCGTTGGGACTGAGCGGCGCGGAGGGTCGGGCGGGTGAGGACCCGGGGACTGGGGTTGGGAGAGGGAGGGAGTCCCGCTGACTGGCCGAGGCCGGGGCTCCGGGCAGTGTCCCCAGTGGGAGAGGAGTGGGGGTACTGAGGCTGCCGTTGGGTCTGAACCCCGGGACTAAGCCCCTCATCCATCCCGCCGCCTCCCGGAGCCGCCCCCGCGCGCCCCCGTACCAGTCCCCGCCCCGTGGCCCTACAGCGAACACCGCCCCCTCCCCAAGCCCCTGCCTCCCCTCCCGCCGCGCGTTCCTCCTCACCCGTCCCCGCCCCTCCAGCCGTTCCCGCTCGGCCCCGCACGCTGTCGGCTGTTTCCAGCCCGACCTCGAGCTCCCGGGGTCCCCCTTCTCGGGCCATCCCGATCCGTCTTCTCCAGGTAAGAAGGCGGTGGCAACTTCTCCGCGGCCTTTCCCGAGGGTGGGCTTGGCTCCTCCGGGCAGCTACCTGCTGCCGGCTGCTTCCTGGAGTCCCGGGGCCCGGCGGAGGGGCCGCTCCGGGCGCGGGCTTAACATTGTTGGGTATTCAGGTTACGATTGCGTGGTTTAGACCCCAACGCGCTGCTTTCGCCCGCGAACTAGTATTTGTCGCGATCTTTTTAAGAAGCTGGCTTTGTCACACACAATTTGGATTTGCCTAGCGCAGGTTGCTTTCTTTGCGGCTGCAGCGGTCTTTCAAGTTGTACCTTTGCGTGGGTAAAGGATTAGCGGTGCAGGAGGACGTGGAGCCATATTTTGCCGCTTCGCATGTGCGTTCAGAGGTAGCGAAAGGGCTGTGTGGGGAGCGAGCCCATCATCACCTGGTGATCCATGTCTTCGTGGGAAAACAAAGATGCTTTGTAGGCATTCAATAAGTAAAATCAGGAGAGATGTGGAATCAGATCAGGGTGCGAATGGGGAAGTGTGGGGCGATGCCACAGCTCGAGGGTGGCCAGGGGGGCCTGGGGAGCGGCTGCGCAACTTGGGGACGTTTATTGCTGTTTGCAGAAGGACCCTCTCGTGAACCCGAGTGTGGAGCAGACGGTGTCCAAGCCCGTCCTTACAAACGTGATGTGACTTTGGACACAGGGTTTGGCAACAACTGCTTCTCCTCAGAGGTGCTGGTGGCCAGTTGGGACATCTGTGGGAAAAGGGTTTAAAGCAGATGGTTTGACAAGCCTCGTGTTCCCTGGGGAGAGGAGGAGATGCACAGCCACAGCCTGATAGCCAGTGCGAGAATCCACCCCATCCCTTCTCTTGGATTTCATTAAGTCTTGGATTAAATTAATTGCCTATTTCTCTTGGAAGAAGAAAGGATGTAGAGGGGGTATTTCTCTTTCAGAGATTGGCTCCTGGCCAGCCCACTGTCACTGATGCCTTGGGAGATGGTGTCTGGGCACCAGGGATAGGGCGGGCCATTGGATGCCTGGCCTTCGGAGCACCACACTCTGAGCATTTGTGAAACTGCAGTATCTGTGACTCTTTTTTCTATTGATTGGCTTGAATAAGCTGAATATTCCTTGCCATTGAGTAGTGAATTCATAAGTAATTAGTCCAAGGTCACACTGGGGCTCAGTCGGATTCCCCTGAGTGCCCACAGATTCCCATGGGCATCTCCTTGGCCCTCACCACACTGCTCAGAGCTCACACTGCTCATTGAGGACGGGGGTGGAACCACCTCTGTGGCTCCAGCACCCAGCCTGGTACCCTTCCATGGTAGGTGCTCGGTGTCTGTTGAGGAACGAAATGGATCCCCCTCTTGAATCCAGTCTGTCTGTGTTCACAACCCCCGTTATTCCATTGCACTGCACTGTTTTCAAAGTGTTTATCTTTAGATTCAACAAGTTTTAAAAGATGTGTAATTTCACTAGCAACAAACTCATTTGTGTATAAGTGTGTTTGGGGCAGAGAACTCAGCTTATAGGTCCCTCGCTGGGGACTCCAGAAATGCCATGAAGGAAATCAGTGGCCTTCATCCCAGAATAGGTGTGGGGGTCGTGATGGGCACCCTGGGGAGCTAAGCTATCTGCCGAGGCGTGAATCCACTACAGCTTAACTGGTAGGACCCTGATATGTGACTCTAGCCCCCTTCTGCATCCCCACCCCTGCCAACTAATAGAGGAAACTCTCACGGGGATGGGGTGTCACTCACAGAGCCCCACTAGCCTGCTTCAGATTGCATCATCCTCACTCCATTGGGTGCCTTCTCCCCTGAAAAAGAGCTGCCTCCCACAGAGGGCTGGGAGTGCCCGTTCTCACGTCCTGAGGTATGGTTTGCAGCTCTCTTGAGGGAAGGGAGGGTGGTGTTTTGGGACGTGTTTCTGTCTGTCAGAGATGACTGACTCACTGGCAAACGGAGCAAAGTTCAGCCCTTCTACCTCTGTCAGAGGCCAGCTGTGGAGAGTACAGCCACAGGGAGGCTGAGGGGGTGGGAGTGCCCCAGACCCCCTTTTCTCAGGAATCTGGAAAGGGCTGGAATTCAGAATGTGGGTCTGGTGTGGGAACCTGCACTGCCCCTGCTTATCTTTCTTACCCAGACTCTCTCTGTCTTCAGGGCTGGCTCTTACCCAGAGTTCCTGCAGCTGGTAAAAATCTGTTTTCTAGAGGAGGTTTAATTAATGCCTGTAGTTTGTGAGTGAGAGAGAAGGGGAGGGTGAGAGAGAAAGAGAGATACCACTATGGAGGGGGAAAGAGAAAGGGATGGAGAGGTTATTCAAGGCCCTGGAAATCCACAGGGGTAGATCCCAGCTCCGGACGAGCCCTGGTGCATGGGTCTTAGTTGGTGGATAAGAAAGTGACCTACATTCTGCCGTAAGGGTTACCCTAAGGAGCAGAGCCACAAAGATAGGAAAAACGGCCTGCAGTAATCTGAAATTAGGTTTGTTGGGCCTGCGTTCTGGTTTCTAGAAGGCCGTGAAAGCCAGCTGAGGGTTGGGCTTAGCAAGATGGAGGAGTACTGGGCCATTTTAAGTTTCTGAATGAGGATCGAGCCACTTTGGCAATGGTGGCTTAAGCGAGGTTGGTCTGGGGTGTAGCCTGGGGGTGCCACCTCATATCTGAGGTGCTGAGGGGAGAATCCAGGGAAATGTCAAAGGCAGGAGCAGCTGGGAGGGTAGTGTGCCTGCACTTAGGGGTAGAAGGCAGGGGAAGCTACCTTCTGACAGAAGAACCTCCCAGGGACTCTCTTTGAACCTGCCGGCTAGCCTTACAGGTAGATGGATGTAGAGCCTGCTGAAGCCCCTAAACATAGAGATACCATAAGATAACCATGTGAGCACAGATGAAGCTCCGGGTCTGCTGTAAGTCCAAAAGGCAGGAGGGCCAGGGTGGCTTAACCCAGCCGCAGACCCCAGCTGCCACCCTCCTGCCCTAGAACCTGCAGGCTGCCTCGGCCCCTCTTGGCCTTTGGTTGGGGAGTCGCTGGCTTTCGGAAAGGAACAGATCTGTCTGTCTGTAATGAAGACAGAGGCAGGTCCAGGAGCATAAAGTGAGGTAATGATTAAAAGGGTGTCCATAAAAGAACTTGCAGGAGCCTTGTGGAGTGGTTCCTGCAGCCAGGAGGCAGCCTTCACCATCATCTGTTGTCTGGGACATCCTTGCATCCTTCCACCTCTCCCTCCCACCCTCCCACCCCCATCCATCTGCACTACACACATCAGTGGAGCCACCTCTGCTGAGTTCCCTGGGGTGGAGGAGAGTTCAGGGAGCCCAAACATCCGGCACTAGCGACTGTAGGCGCTGGAAAATTCTGTTATATTTGCGGAGTCAATTCCCCAACTTACACATTTTCTGTTTCTGTATTACAAGGCATCCTTCCGTCATCTGCTTGCCACCCTGTGTGCCTCTGTGTGGGGCAGACTTCCATACAAAACAAAACAAAAAAACCCATTCCCATCAAGTCCAATGCCAACACACAGCAACGCTGTAGGACAGAGTAGAATTGCCCCATAGGGTTTCCAAGGCTGTAAATCTTTACAGAAACAGATTGCTACATCTTTCTCCCGTGGAACAGCTGGTGGGTTCCAACCTCTGACCTTTCAGTTTGCAGCTGAACGCTTAACCACTTCGCCACCGGGGCTCATCACAGACTTCCTTAGGGAAAACTATAATCAATAGTGTAGAAACCAGAGCTTTGAATAAACAGACTATAATGAAAATTATTGACCCTGGTTTTGACAACTCCCACACCCTCCCCTCCTCTACTCCTGTTTGTGGTTAGAGTCATTATTTACCCAAATTTACAAATAGTTTGGATAGTATTTGTCCTACCTTTCCATTATATGGAAGGAGCTCATTCTTTCCAACCTACAACCACAGCTTGCTCTTCCAGGCCTACCTTATTCTTGCATCCAACACCAACCTTCAGAGATACAGCGCTATTGTTCTTGAGCTTTTTAATTATAAAGTAAAATGAAGCTCATGCTTGCTAATTTTATAACCTGCTGATATAGGAGTCTGAACTTAGAATTTAAAAAATTTCCTGGCTCACTCTTTATGCTTCTAAAATGAAAGAGGCCGTTGGAGTATAAGTAGAGAAAAGTTATTAAAGTTACAGCAGAAATGTTTGGAAGCACAGAATAATAATGGGGGGATGCCACAATCTTGTGAAAATAAATTATCAAGCTTTAAACACCATTACTAAAACATAGAGAGTTATAAATATGAAATGCCATAGAAGTATAGACAAGTATAGAAAGTTTGACGAGTATAGATTGGTAAGTATAGAAATTTTTATCCAAGTTATTTTATTGGAATATATTATTATAAAGGTCCCTGGGTGGTGCAAACAGTCAAGTGCTCTAAGATTACAACCAGGAAACCATATGGAGCTCAGTTCTACTTTGACACATGTGGTTGCCATGAATCAGAATTGACAGCAACAGGTTTGGTTTTATTAATTATTATGATCATACAATATGTTTATATAGTACTTTATCCTGTAAATAGGCGATTATGTCCATGACCTCATTCAGTCCTTCCAGCAAGTCTGGGATCCACTGAGAGATGGGGAAACAATACCTCAGAGTAGTTAAGAGGCTTCCCACAGTCCACGTGGCCCCTGACAAAGCCTAGAATTCAAATCTCTCAGCAGAGAAATACTGTGTAAACCTAGGCATTCCTGCTCCAATTGCTTAATAACCAAATGTGGTTACATAGTTATTTAAAAATTGCAAGTGATCTCCTGCTTAGGTGCCAAAGTAGGCATGGGTTTTCTTTTAAATGTTCGACCAACAACAGAAGCAGTGTAGCTTAGCTCAACAAGAAGCCTCCTGGAAGGATTTCTCAGGGTTTGTAGACTCCGAGGTCTCTGTTGATGACTTTCTAATTCTAGAGGACCTGAGTGTGAGTGTGTATTCAGCACGGTGCAGTGGTTAAGAGTGCAGACTCTGAAGCCAGACTG